AGGCGTCGATACCATGAGTGGCAGGTGGCTGAATTTTACGGAGACTTGCCACGGTCTCCAACCCTCCTCCGGGCTTGGGACCGGCCATGGCGGAGTTTGCGTCCAAAACCGACCGGCAAAAAACCCAGGGGACGGCCAAGATTGATCTGATGCTAATCCATGGAAGAAGTCTGTTTCAGACTCAGGTTGTCTTGTGCTGAAGCTCAGATTCTGGCACAGGATCGGGAACGCTGGAAGCGATGTCTGACGATTCTGCCTCCCTGACCCAAAAGGAAGAGCGGCCAAAGAAGATGATGATGAAGATGATTGTTGTACTGTGCACTGCTACTTCAAGACTAGGTCATTACATAATTTATTATATACGTAGAATTTATTTCAGTAGTTCTGCATCTATTGTATCTTACTTGAGCATTATATTTACAGTATGCATCAGACTTTACGAGAGAACGTGCTTTCCGTTTGAAGACATGCAATATTACAAATTTAACGACGTTTACGCAGGGGAAGGTAGGAGGGCACTTTTAATAAATAAGTCATGCTTGCATTTCTTGCTTATAATGCACTTTTAGAAGCTTCACTGTAGGGTGAAAGCTGCTTAGCATTGGGGCGTGTTTTGTCGCTTATGAGAGTTTAGCGAGTTGAGATACGTTTGCAGCTGCAAAACCCTTGGTTGGGATTGTTCTGTGCTCGCTAGTTCATGAATTGAAATTGTATAAGAGGATGCATATTTTAGGTACCACGACTAGCCTTCTTCCACCCAAGATCCATACCCTAATTTCATTTTCCCTGTTTGATTCTGTTTCGATTTGGATCGTTTTGTTATTCGCGTTTAAATTCGTATAATCAGGTAGATAATATTGAAACTTATACTTTTAATCATTTGACTCTGTTGTCACATGTCTAGTTTTGTTTCGTAAGGCTTCATGAGTAGCTATCTGAGGTACCATGTCGTTTTATGAGTTATTCTTAACCAAGAAAGTATTTTTGAGGAAGGGAATCAATGATGAGTCGAATGAACTGCGGTTATATCGACGATACGCAAATGCATATGCCGTACGGAAAGCTGTCAGACGGGGTACATTATATTTGTAGTGCTGGTGTTATTTGTCCGTTTTCTACTAATGCTTTATAGACGACGCTTGTGGCTGCCGAATTCCAAGATGGTGTCGTTATTGGAACGGACAGCAGAACATCAATGGGGTAAGTTGGAAATGGTGACAGATTTCTTCTTGCCTGCTATGTATCCTGTTTCCAAGATCAGTTAAAGCTTTCTTCGTTATGAGGTAAGAACTGAACTTTGTTGGGCAAACTCAAGGTGCCACCTAATTTTCAGGAGACAGACGGAATTATTCCTCTTGTGTATAATGAACTGAGGTCTGATCCAGATTGTTCATCCATTTTACAGGGTGACAGCTAAAAAAACTAGTTTTCAGTTTAAAGTTCAGTTATGCTTGTCACTCTGGGAAAGAGTTATGGTTAGTTAACTGCGATGGTTAGTTCTATATTCCGGTTGTGTTCTGTCGAAGTTCAGACTCCGGCACGGGATCGGGAACGTTGAAAAGCACTGTCTGATGCGTCTGCCTCCGCGACCCGAAAGGAGAAGCGGTCAGGAAAGATGAAATGAAGTGACTTTGGGAAAGATTATATTACGTATATCTTTATTGAAATAACCAGTATACTTCGAAATACACGTTACAAACTCGTTTAAGGAGAACGGGGTTCCCGCTGGAATTACGAATTCATAAGCCAAAATATGTCATGATCAAGTGGTTTTCTTTGGTCGAGTAGAAACCCGGAGCGACCTTGCGCTGTGCTTATTTAAAAACAAACTGTTTTCTTTCAAAATTTATCATTCTTCGACTATAACCGTACTTGTGGTTTATTAGACTGATCCCGATAAATAAGTATAACCTAACATAGTAAGTAGCTAGAATTATATATATTTTAGCCTGCACGTTTCGAACTGTAGTTTAGTGTTTTTCTTCAGTAGGGCCAGTATGAGTTTTCCGGCATATTCGGTGTACCGGGCCACTGCTGAAGAAATGCACTGCAATGGTCTTCAGAATAGTTCGGCTGAGTTTTTTAAAACTCGGCTGAAAACTTTCATTACGTTTTATTATACTGTTTCAGAGTTGTTGTGTAAATTTCTCACTACCGACGTAGGAAACGACTTCAGTTTGCAGCGAGCTTATTTGGCAGTAATCCCTAACCAGCATTTTGGCATCCATCTCGCAGTTCTTCTTCAGGATAGTGGTGGAGGTATTCTTTTCCGATAATCGCGTGCCAGTTTTGTTCATCTGGGAAACTAAGAGCTTCTTACTGACGGCTTCTATATTTGATGTTTAAACATGGAAAGACGTCCCTTGCTGCGAATGTTTTCACATCGTATGATGTTGTTTGTTGAGATCATTACTTTGAACCGTTTGCGTAAGTAGAACGTCTGTGCTTTGGAACGAATCAGTGGTATTTGCAGCTTTTCAGCACCGGTTACTGCATAGTAGAAAGAAATGTTCCTCTCCGAAGGCAGAGATGCCTCCACATTATTCCTGTTGCATACTGTCATTCCGTACGACGTCGACACACACACAAGAACGCTCGCTGGTTAGAGGAAATGATTGATTTATACATAGCCAGTTTGTTTAACAAAGCCAAACTCTTTTATTAATCTCAAGATCTTCTGAGGTAACCTGTGTCCGAAAGGGAAGAGAGTCATCCTTATGTAGTTCTACCATTTAACTGTCATAATGACAGTTCAACCGTCGTTCTTGCTTCCTGGCATATAGTACTTTGTCTAGCACAGATTCATTTTGTTGTCTTTTGAGTGTTTGCCTTTTATCTACACTGAAAGGTAGGATTCCTTGATTACTTTGCACACTTTCAATATCTAATTGTCGATGGACGATTGCTGACATCCTGGTCGGTAAACTTTAAACTGAAGAAGCGTTGTGAGATGGATGCCAGTATGTTTTGTAAAGACTTATTGCCCCAAAACATGTTGGTTTACGTTGTTTTAATAAGCCAGCAGTTTCATCTATGTACAACCTAGTTATTCATAGAATACCAAGAAATAATTCAACCCCTCCCCTCCTCCAAATTATCAGCTGAATGGAACGGCGAACGTTTTTACGATTGGAGGTGAGGTAACTAGTTAACCAGAAAAAAATTCAGATTGTATCATTTGACCTGCAAGCGTTGACTGACCTACTTGCCCATTCTGCCTTATTCATTAATAATTAGTTATAGTCTGCCTTCTCATGTACGGGCAAGAACGTCGATATTTTTACTACCGAGATTGAAAGTGTGGCCACCTTAATCATTTATTCAAGTCTGATAATGTATCAGATGGCTTAGTATGCCAGCCTACTACTCGATTGCTCTTCAGTTGATTTGTACGTCTTTCATATGTGGTTTCTTAACGGACCGTAGCATCAGTAATTCCAATCATAACAGTTTTTACAAGTAAACCGTAGTTAATTTCCTTCACTATAAAAACCTGCGTGAAAAGGTGTAATGCGTATTAAACAAAAATGTAGCATTAGCATTATATATGAAAGTGCTAATTTACGAATTTATTCGTTTCTTGCATAATAGGGACCTATTATCCATAGGATCCTTTAGGTTGAACATCATCTTACCTCGTAACGTGGAAAAGTTTTGTATTTGAGAAACAAGGAACAACGTCACTCAAAGAGCAAAGTGCCACTTTTCAAGCTGAAGATTATGGACAGTCCCAAACGAACGTAAGCAGCACGCTCAGGTGAAGTGTCTCTGAAGGAAATAGCGTTGCCATCACCAAATAAAGCCCTAACGTGGAAGGGTTGGGGCGTCACGAAGCTCGCGGCAAAAAACCTATCCCCGGTAGTCATGGCGCATCGGCATAAGAAATAAACGGGAATCTTTTCTTTAACATTTCCCTTATTCTCTTCCTTGGTGTTATCGGTAGCCAGCATAATCGATTAATCTCTCTTCGTCTAAGAGATTTAACCGAGATTGCTTTCAATAAGCATTTTTGTCATTGGAGCTACCCATATGAGACCGTTATGAAGGTGTTTATGAATATTTACTCGCACGGATTTCCGTAATGCGCATACACTGTGTGCATTTAGTAGGTGAGTCATTCATTTTCCATCACCGCTGTCCTTGTGGGGTCGCGAAGACGTCAGCGCAGATAGTGTCTACATCGTTCGTAATGCTGCGCGAGCATCTCAGTTTCGGCAGAATCAGGCAGTTGCCCAAAGACTAATCTTGAGCTACCCCGGGCATTCAGCCGGTCGGTTAGGCAAGTATTACCAGTTGCAAGACGTTTCCAAACTCTCGTAGCGTTAACTTATGAATTTGGAGAAGCCATGTTTTCGATCATCTTCTTAGACATCTGAAACGCGGACTCTTGTGCGCAGCGATTTGTTTGTGAGAAGGTCCATTTGAGTTGTTTGCACCGTGGCAGGTTTTTAGTCATGGCCCATGACTCGTGACCATAGGTAAGCATCGGGATGAAGATCGACTTGATCACAAACAGGTTAGTCTTCAGACTCCACTCGGAGCAGCTTCAGTTAATTGTGATATTCCTTAACTGCCTGAACGGTCAAGGTAAATTCAGACCTGTTTGTAGAGAAGTAGAATTGAAAAATTATCCCCCTCCTCCATCGTTATAATCTGAAGTTTGATCTGTTTATTAAAGGTCGTTGATCGTTGGACGGGTAACAGATAAAATTACGGAAATCACACCATTCATTTGTTGCCTTCGATCCGGTTCTGCGGCCGATACCCAGGCAGTGACGGACATCGTCAAGTACATGCTGGAGGTGTACGAGTACGTTCATATGCTATACGGTGTTTGGCAAGGATACGCTTTAACTGTATGACGTCATTGCAGGATGGAACACAATTGTGTGGCTCCCGTGTTCATCGCTGCGCAGATGTTTCGCGATATGTGCTACCGATACCGCGAGCAGCTATCCGCTGGAATATTGGTTTGTGGATGGGACCAAACAAAGGGTGGTCAGGTATGTGGCGTATATTTTCCGCTTAGATTAAATAAATTAGCATGTTTTCATTTCTTGCCTATCTAGGTGTATTCCGTTCCGTTGGGCGGAATGATTGTTCGGCAATCGATGGGATGCGGTGGGTCTGGAAGCACCTATATATACGGCTACCTGGACAGTACTTACAAAGCGGGCATGACCGAAGACGAGTGCGTTGAATTCGTCAAAAAAGGTAATTGCGATTGCTTTATGCAATCGTCGATCAGACGGTTACCCCCTTAACCCTCTTCTCATTTAGGCGTTGCGTTAGCAATGTCTAGGGATGGCAGCAGTGGCGGGTGCATCCGTCTGGGCGTCATCAGCAAAAGAGGTTTGGAGAGAAAGATTTTCACCGGAGACGACATCCCAAAATTCACCTTGTAGTCTATATCGTTGAAAAGTGCATTTGTCGATCTGTTAAGTAAAATATTCGTCTTAATGTCTCTATTGTCAACAACAATCTATATCTTCTTGTTGTTTGTAGCATTAGTTGTAGGAAAGCGTCAGCTCACTAATGAATCCGGCCTAATAAATTAGCAAGATGAGAGCTTAGAACCATAATCCTGCTGATTAACTTCGATTTTGGTACTATGATTTATGATGTTGGAGGATCCAGTATTTTGCACATATCGTTTTCGACATCTGACAGCCGGTGGCTTTCCTGATCATGCGACAGCCGCGCTGTCATAACGATATTTTAGCGCCCTACGGGCTGAGCTACCTCAAAACAGCACCTGTTCAGATTACATGTCTGAAAGTCATCTAGTGATGAAACTTGCTAGGTTTCGAGTATTCTTCATGCTACCGAGATGCTAACAGAAGGCTTACCTTCTATTCGAGTGCGGTAATACAGAATTGCTGAGTTCTCCGCCAGCCTGGTAAAATGTCGGTCGATATCTACCGCAGTCTGCGTCTCATTTGCATGCGTTACACTCGATTAGGACTGTCGGACTAAATAAAAACTTGTTCTTCTATGATGGTTACCAACTGCAAACCTGTTTGCTATTTTACTTAAGACAATTTAGTAGATGAACGACCACTGCGTTAACATCCAATGACTGAGGCATAACCGAAAATCGATTGATGCACCGAATAAATATCAACATGAATATTTCTGGTTGTTTATCAGCAACAATTCCAAGCGCCTTCAAGTTGGTCAGCAGGATTCTGTGGCTAAAGCCTTTTCCTTCAGACACTTTGCCAACCACATCTAAAAAGTCATCGAATGCATTCAAAGAAGATACAAATTAAAATAGTCTTTTACCAAGGGATCCTCTGGATCCGCTGCTACCATTTCCATCAGACACTTCGAAAGCGTCGGTATAACTTCAGCTGAGAGATAATTCATAATTTCTTCTGACCATGGCTCTAGTTCGACTAGAGAAAATGAGAAATACGTTTGCATAATGTATTTAATTCTTTACTTATCTTAAGACAATGTGTCCACTATCTACCGGTCACGCATTAAATACCTTCTTCAGAAATGGAAATGAAGACAAACATTCGAGACGTTGATGCAGAGTATAAACACCTGACGTAAAAAATAAAACATTTAAGCGTTCATGTCTCACACTGGATGATAGATGAGGCATTAGATTACTAATCACCCGAACTCAAATGAAATGGAAATGATCATTCATTAGTCCGTTATTCCTTTTAGTTAGGGGTAAAAATTTTACGAGGTCTTTCTAACAGTTAAAGTCAGCCAAAGAAATCTCACGTTTTGGATCCTCATCATCTCAACGGCAGGCTAACCAACAAAGTAACGATTTCTCGATTTAAAGAAAATAAAAAAGGATAATAAAAACTACACGTAATTAAACCAGTCCCAGTGCTAAGCCTGCAAATTCAGGGTCACATTCAAGTCAGAGAGAGCGTACAAGTCCAAAATATGGTTCGTTAGACGACAGTTTTACCAACGATGTAGGCTTTCTAATGATGAAGGTACGCACGTAGGTTAGAAATGATCCCAAAGTAAATTACTAATCAAAGAAATCTATGACATTGTACCGTAGTCCAGCAGATCACGAACGGGGTCCTTTACGGTTTATCCACTGGCCCTTAAAATGATGTTCCAACTACAACTCAACGAACATGA